AGAGAGAGAGAAACATCAATGTGAGAGAGACACATCGACTGGCCACCTCCCACATGACCCCAACTAGGGCTGGGGACCGAACTGCAACCAAGGTATGTGCCCTTGACTGGATTCAAACCCAAGACTCTTAGGTCTGCAAGCCAATGCTCTAACCACTGAGGAAAACTGACCAGGGCTTAACCGCCCCATTTGTAAAACGGGTACCATCACCACCAAACTGCAGGATTGCCAAGGTCTCACCAAGAAGCCACAAGTGGATGCTTGGGACCCTCTCAATCACTAGGAAAGAGAAGAGCTTCTGGGAGGCATAAGAACAAGGACAGATGTACAGAGCAGGGGCACCAAGTTGCCGCTTTGGTCCCCAGTACTGACAGCTCATCAGAATCACCTGACAACTCAGAAACTGGCAAAGCCAGGAGGCCCATGCCTATCAATGCTGCCTGACATCAGGGTGGTCCTACCTGCCCCCAGGATGGATAGGTGCAGCCAAGCCGGAGTACAAGGGGTGCTATCTGGGGAGGCTAGTGATAGAGTTGGGGTGGAAGGGTTGTGTCTCCTTCCCTTACTGGCAATGAGAGTCACCTGACCATACTAGATGGTCAGCTCCTCTAAGGCTTTCTTCTGTTTTGTCCCCAATACCTGGGTGGTGCCTGCTGCCATCTTGTGGGCACTTGAAAAATGTCTGACAGACCGGCTGGTGGCTCAGTTGGCGGAGTGTCATCTTGTGCACCAAAAAGTCACCGGTTCTATCCCCATTCAGGGCACATGCCAGGGTTGAGGGCTTGATCCCCAGTAGGGGGTGTGCAGGAGGCAGCTGATCAATGTTTCTCTCTAAAAATTCAATAAAAGCATTTTTTTTTTTTAAAGTGTCTGATAAACAGGGACATGATGGTGGCATAATGCTGTGACACACCAGTGTTCCACCCAGGGCTACCTCAGGTCATGCCTAAGGTTGCTGGGGCCACTATACCAAACTACCACAAACTGGGGGCTTAAAACAACAGAAACAACTTCTCTCAAGGTCCTGGAGGCCAGAAGTCCAAGATCAAGGTGTTAGCAGGGCCACACTCCCTCCAAAAGCTCTAGGGGAGAATCCTTCTTTGCCTCATCCAGCTTCTGGTGGCGCCAGTCATTCCTTGGTTTATGGCTGTATCACCCCAACCTCTACCTCCATCTTTTCTGTCTACCTCAAACCTCTCTGCCTTTCTCTCAGATGGACACCAGTCATTCGATTTAGGGCCTTCCTAAATCACAGCTGATCTCCTCTAGAGATCCTTCACTGAATTACATCTGCAGAGACCCTTTTTCCAAATAAGTCACATTAATGGTGTCCAGGTGGACATATCTTTTTGGGGATAGATTTCAATGCAGTACAAGCTGCCTAAAAGGTTTAGGTACTCCACTAACCAGAATTAATTGGCATCACATAGCTAAGGGCGGACAGGGCTCCCATTCTCTGGATGCCTCAGGAATAATGTCTTGGTATGTCTATCTATGGCTCAGAAGCTGGGTTGTGTGTGCCTCCAGCCAGAGTGACCACTGGTATGATTTCCTTTGTTTTCAGTCACTCTCTACGTACAGATCACGCTAGTTCTTTCAGCAATAATACAAAGTCTGCATATTATGTGAGAAAACTCAAAGAACACACTGCTACGATGTAAACAGCACAAACACATGGCAGAAGCCAAAAGGTGAACATGAGTGCAATGCCAAATTTTACAGTGACTCTGTGGAGAGAGGTGCTATTGTTCCCATTTGACAGGAGGGAAAACTGAGGCTCAGTTCTGGTTGCAGAAACAACATAATAGAGCTGGAAACTGAACCTAGGTCTATCTCAATCTTCTCACAGTCTACACTACTCTAGCAAGGAGGCACATATAATTCTAGTGGTGGGCTGAATAAGGTTCCCCAGAGATGTCTATGCCAGTCCATGGGACCTGTAAATAGCTTACATTACATCACAAAGGACTTTGCAGATGCGATTAAAGTTATGTACCTTAAAATGGGGAGAATGTGCTGGTTATCCAGGAGGGCCCAGTCTAATCATGGACACCCTAAAAGCAGAGACTAGGCAGAAGGAATGCAGCAGAAGGGGAAATTCAAGTGTGAAAAACCCCATGGCTGGGCCTGGCCGGTGTGACTCAGTGGTTAAGCATTGACCCATGCACCAAGAGGTCGCCGGTTTGATTCCCGGACAGGGCACATGCCCAGGATGTGGGCCGATCCCCAGTGGGGGGCGTGTAGGAGGTGGCCAATCAATGTTCTCTTTCATCGGTGTTTCTATCTTTCCCTCTCCCTTCCTCTTTCTAAAATCAATCAAGAAAAATTATATATTAAGAAAACGACAGCAACCTATGGTTGATTTTGAGATAGGGACTGCGAGGGAACACAAGCAAGGCTGAGGATTAGAGAGAAACCTCTAGGAGCCAAGAGTGGCCCCAGGCAGAGAGCCCACAATCTGAATGAGTTTGGGAGCAGATTTGTCCCTAGAACCTCCAAAAAAGACAAAATCTGGCTGACACCTTGAATTTAGCATGATAAGAGCCGTATTTGACTTCTGACCTAGGGGAACCATGAGATATTAATAAATTAGTGTTGTCTTAGGCTGCTTCTTGTAAGTTGTCAAGGCAGCAACAGAAAATTAATACAGCCCTGGCTAGTTTAGCCAGAGGTTAGAGCGTCGGCCCGCAGACCACAGAGACCCAGGTTCGGTTTCCGCTAAAGGCATGTACCTCGGTTGCAGTTTGTCCCTGGCCCTGGTTGGGGTTGTGTGGGTGGCAACCAATTGATGTGTCTCTCTCACATCGATGTTTTTCTCTCTCTCTCCCTCCCTCCCTCCCGCTCTATCTGAAGATGAATGCAAAAATGTCCTCGGGTGAGAATAAAAACAAAAATAAAAACAATAAACTATTTGAAAATTAGTACAATCATGAAATGTTATCTCAACAGATCCTAACAGCTTCTTGAAGTCTGTTTGAGTTTTATCCCCATTATACAGATGCTCAGGGACATCGGGTTCACTTCCGAAGAGAAGCATGAAAATCAAACCTTCTCTACAGAGTCCAAATTCCTCCCAATCATCTGCCTGTCTCTTGTGAAGATGTCTGCCACTCCCTTCTTTGGTGCTCTGATGGCATCCCACACCTTTGGACTAAAATTCAAACCCCTGCTGTGGCCCCCAAGGCCCTGCTTCTCACCCTGCCCACATCATTCTCCATCCTCCCCCTCAACACCCCTACCCACTTCTGCTACACTGGCCTCTTATGCCTTGACCACCCTGAGCTCACACCTGCCACAGCACAGTAACTTACTGGGTTAGATGCTTTTCAAAGTTCAGTCTCAGGTTCAAATGACAGTCAGAGAGGCAAGGGCTGATTGGACCACTCCGGGGTGAAGCAGCCACCCCTTCCCCAATTCAGACTGAGTACTTTTTATCTCCCTTTGCCCACAGGTAGTACTCAAGTTGTAATTATTCATTTGCTTGTTTACTCTCTTTGAAACACAAGGCTGTGAAGGCAGGCAAAGACTCTGCCATGTCCCCTACTCTTAAAAAATTTTCCAATGGTTTACTCAAAGTGACAGAAGGCCCACATCCCTCCCTTAAAGGTCGTGCTAACAGCCATTGCTGCCCCCTTCTCCTGTTATCAGCTCCTGGCTGGCTGGACCCTGCCTGCAGATTTACTTTCTAGCTTTCTAACAGCCAAGCTCCTTCCCCAACTCTCCATCACACCACCTCCTGACTTGTTTACTGTCTCCCTTGTCAAGCTGAGGTTCTCAAAATAGAGATAAGAGTTCTGCCTATTTTGTCACTGTTTTGAGCCCAGCATGAACACACGGCCTGACATCAAGATGCTCACTGAAGAATGAATGAACGAACGAATCTGGGGAGAAATAGCCGGCCTAGAGGGGCAGAATAACGTCGGGGATGTTATTTCTCTAGAGCGTCGGTATTCTTATCTGTAAAATGGGATAAACAGTCCCCCCTTCACGGGTATTGACGGTAGAGCGGCCAGTGTGGGCGCCCAGCAAATAAGAATCACCACCATTACCATTACTATTAGCAGCATAAACGGCTCTTACTCAAACGCCTTCCAGGGCGCAGAGCGAACGCTTTGAGAAGTAAAAACTAGTACTGCTTTAGGTTTTGTCACGGGACGAGGATTAACTCCACACTGCCTCTGAAGAGATGCGGGGGGAGGCACCACCTGGACAAGAGAGTTTTTAGAAACAGAGCGCGCAACCGGCGGCCACCAGGAAGAGCCTCCGCCTCCGCCTCCGCCTCCGCCCCCGGCCCCGGGGCGGCCGCACCTTCACCCGCTGCGCCTCGTTGATGCACTGCTGGTAGCTGCCGATGTAGAACGCGTTCTTCACGTCGAACAGCTCGTCCACTTCCCCTGAGCCGCCAGAGGCCGAGCCGGGAGCCGGAGGCGCCATGTCCCTCTCGTCTCACCCACTTCTTCCTGACCGACACGTAGACAGGAAGCGGGGAGCCACCGGGGGGAACGCCGGGAAATGTAGTTTACTCCTTTCGGCCTGAAGAGGACCCAATGGGAGACTCCTAAACAAGAGTAAATGCCCTAGCTGGTGTGTCACAATGGTTAGAGCGTGGGCCTGCGCACCTAAGGGTCACGGTTCGATTCTGGGTCAAGGCAGTACCTGGATTGCAGATTGATCCCTGGACGGTGGGGGCGCGTGCTTGAGTGGATGTGTCTCTCACATCATGTTTCTCTCTCTGGCGCTTTCACTTGCTCTCTCCTACCCTCTTTCCCTTCCTCTCTCTCTAAAACTCAATGGAAAAATATATTTTCCGGTGAGGATTAACAAAAATAATTAAGTAAAGCGGGGGGGGGGGGGATTTGTCGCAGGGCACTTCGGGAATTGTAGTTTGATTTAATCCTGCGAGCCAAGGAGAAAACCTTCCAGGAATTTAAGGGTGGGACCATGAAGAAGTTTGATCCAATCAATGGGGGAAATCTCATTGCGTCATTGGCACGCGCCGGAAGCGCGGCTCACACGGTTTCAGCGGCTGACGGTAAGGATGGCCGGGTTTAGGGAGCTAGGTCTGTCCTCGTGGCTCGTAGAACAATGTCGGCAGCTGGGTTTGAAACAGCCCACACCCGTGCAGCTCGGTTGCATCCCCGCCATCCTGGAAGGTGAGTGTGGTGTCTTCCCCAAGAGGCATCTCCGCTCCTGTCGCCGCCTCCTTTCCCTTTACCCTTGTTGGTTCTAAGAGGCGAAGGGCAGCCTCCGGCGATTTGGGGAACATGGGTTCCGGAGGCCTACCAGGCAATGTTGTTAGCGTTTAGGCTACGTGATTGACTCACTGTGTGTTCGCGAACAAGTGATGTAATCTCCGAAACTTCCATAGTCGCAGAACTCAGGGAGGTTTTGGTGAATGATTAACCAATAGCACTGGGAAAACTGAGAAAAATTTACACTTACTGTCTTCATTTTACAAATGGAAACTGAGGTGCCCGGCCACTGTGGCTCAGTGGTTGAGCGTCGACCCATGCACCAACAGGTCCCGGGTTGGATTCCCAGTCAGGGCACATGCCCAGGTTGTGGGCCCAATTTCCAGTAAGGGCCATGAGGGAGGCGGCCAGTTGTTCTCGCTCATGGATGTTTCTATCTTTCTCTCCCTTTCTCTTCCTCTCGCTCTAAAATCAATAAAGAAAAAAAAATTTTAAACGTGAAAAAACCCAAAACAAATGGAAACTGAGGCTGTCAAGAGTACTGGTAGATCCAGGACTCTGATTCGTGACTGTTCTCCCCATTCTTCTGGCCCAGCCTAGTCTTGTCATTGCAGAGATGCCCTTAGGAAGCCTAGGACGTGACAACTTGATGAGTTAAATAAACAAAGTTGAAAGAATCAATAGGGAGTGTAAGGTGCGGATTGGCGGAGGGCATTCCAGGTTCCCCAAGCTTAGATGACGGTGGTAGTGGGGAAGATTGTCAAAATGAGGTAGTGGTTAGTAGCATCTTGAATCATGGATGTGCGTTCCAGTCCAGCCTGCTACTCACTGGATGAGTTCCTGGGAAAATCTCTGAGTCTCAATTTCCCCCTCTGTTAAGTGAGAATAATGATTTCTCCTTCCTAGAATTTGTCAGTTGCCCACAATGAAAAATTGTCAGTATGCCCGGAATGGAAAGGGCACGGGCTAGTCCCAGGCACACAGTAACTGCTCAGTGGAACACCCATCTATACCTAAACTGTTGACGTTGCTTTGCCCTCTTTCCAGGTCGGGACTGCCTAGGCTGTGCCAAGACGGGCAGTGGCAAGACAGCAGCGTTTGTCCTGCCCATTTTGCAGAAGCTCTCTGAGGATCCCTATGGCATCTTCTGCCTCGTTCTGACACCCACCAGGTGAGCCCCACACAGGCCTCCTGGGTGAGCTGACCAGCTGCATTCTCTTGGGCAAGCAACTTTACCTCTCTTTGCCACACTTTCCCTGTGTGCAAAATGAGGACATTAATCATGCCTCCTTTTAGAGGTGCTGTAGAATGAAACAAGATAGTATGTGAAAAATTCTAAGCACAGAGCTTGACTTAGGGCAAATGCTGGCCAGACAGGAACTGTCAATAGTCAAATAGCTTAGAATAGGCACATCTCTTGTTCTTGGTCAGAAAGATGTGGTAGTTGATATCATAAGTTTTATAATGGCAGGAGAGGTAGGCGCTGCATGCTATGAGAGCATGACCTGGGGAGGGGTGGTGTCAAGGAAGGCTTCAGTCAGGGGTGCCTTAAAAGATGAGAAGGGTCTCTCCAAGGAACAAGTTTGGGGAAAGGTAATCTAGACAGAGGGAACTACTAGTGCATTCATGCAGAGGTGTGAGAGGCAGGGAACAGAAGGGGGCTGGGCATATTAGAGCCAGCTTGAGAAGGGCCTTGAGTGCCAGATTCTGAGGGAATGTAAACGAGAGGGCAAGACAAGAGGACAGTTAGTGGGTACATGGGCTGAAGAGAGGCCTGGTTGGAGCAGGGGCCAAGGGGTAGAGAGGAGGGCACTTGGATACTGACTGACTTCAGAGGAGGAGGGACTGATGCTTGGATTTCAGGCTTTGGTGACTGGTGTGAAGGCTGTTGCTGAGAACACGGGAGGAAGAGAGGCTAGTTTGGGTGAGACTGGAAGGAGGGGCCATGGGTTGTTCCGGGGCCTAGTCTGGTGAGGGGGAAGGGTCCACACAGGCCTCCAAAGCTAATTGGCAGAGCTTTTGTTCAAAAGAGACTGGGAGCTATGGAGGGTGTGTGAATAGAAGAGAGCAAGTCAGGAAGCCCTAGGGGTAGAGATGGGAATGGAAGACAGGTATAGAATCTCTGTGTGACACAATCTGGCTCCTTCACACCCACAGGGAGCTGGCCTACCAGATTGCAGAGCAGTTCCGGGTCCTGGGGAAGCCTCTGGGCCTAAAAGACTGCATCATCGTTGGCGGCATGGGTACAGGGGCCCCAGGGAGGCTCTGGGTATGGGACCTCTGCAACCTTGGACTATATTTCAAGCCCCACCTCTTGCCCTCCACCCGCAGACATGGTGGCCCAGGCCCTGGAGCTCTCCCGGAAACCACATGTGGTCATTGCCACGCCTGGGCGCCTGGCTGACCATCTTCGTAGTTCCAACACCTTCAGCATCAAGAAGATTCGCTTTCTGGTGAGTTGACCTGGGCATTGATTTGTCCATTTGAAAAACATATCCCACAGGCCATCCAGTAGAATGTTAGGAACATGACAAGGACATCTCAGAGACTGACAAGAGGTGGTCTGTACCAGTGAGGGTGGTTGAGAGCAGGGCCTGTCTGAAGAAGTGACATTATAGCTGAGACAGGTGAGGGAACAGGATCTCCAAGACCTTGAGAGGGAGTGCTCCCAGGCTCATGGACAAAGTTGGGAAGGAGGAATATGGGAGAGATAGGCCAGACTTGGACAGTGTACTCATTCCAAACCCCTTACCACTACTCCCTGATGCTGGCATTGCAGGTGATGGATGAGGCAGACCGACTGTTGGAGCAGGGCTGCACTGATTTCACTGTGGACCTAGAGGCCATCCTGGCAGCTGTGCCGGCCCGCAGGCAGACACTGCTCTTCAGTGCCACCCTCACTGACACACTCAAGGAGCTGCAGGGCCTGGCCACCAACCAGCCCTTCTTCTGGGAGGCTCAGGCCCCGTGAGTCCACAGCCACATTCCAGGGATGGTGGAGGGCAGGCAGGAGGTGGTGGTGGAGGTTATACCCAATGGAAGTTATTGCCCATAGACAGGGCAGGGCATTGACTGAATTCAACAGAAGAGGAAATTGAGGCCCACCCCTTTCCAGGGTGTGCACAGTAGAACAGCTAGACCAGCGCTACCTGCTGGTGCCTGAGAAGGTCAAGGATGCCTACTTGGTCCATCTGATCCAGAACTTCCATGATGAGCATGAGGACTGGTCCATCATCATCTTCACCAACACGTGCAAGTAAGCTCTGTGGGCCCACACACACCTTCATAGATGCCCCAGAGGTGGCCCGTGGTCACAGGTGGGAGGCACACAGCCAGTCTCGACACTCTAGAATCTCTGCTCAGACCAGAGATTTTGAAAGATTTGCTCAAGGAGACTCAGAGAGATCAAGCCACTCACCAAGATCACTTCTTCTGAAGGTGGAGCCAGGATTTGGGGTTCCTCAGATCTACCCTTAACCTGAAGGGCCAGGGGTCCCTGGCTGTCCCCAGCCTTGGAGCAGCCTATTCGCTGTGGTCTAAGGGTGTTACTGAGGCCCAGTGCAGCAGCACCCACACCCGGGGCTGTTCTCACCATAGTCCCGGGGACTTTAGAATCTTCCGAGCATATGAGGGGATTATCAAAAAGCTGTAGACTGTTTTAACATGAGCTAGAAGACGGGCAGTCAATACCATGTTGACAGGACCTCCTAACTGTTGCTGCTCCTCAAGAATTTATTGGCTACCTGAAGAGAAAAGTCCGGATGTGGGGCTGACTCTTGCTGGCTTAGGCTAGGAGAGGAGGCAGCAGAGAGGATGTGAATGGGCAAGATACCCTGCACCTTTGTTTGTCCTTTCCTGTCTGCAGGGCCACCTGCTTGGGGTCCTCGACAGGGGCAGGGGCAAGAGTTTTTTCCCAAGACCCCAGCTTTAGAGGTGCTGACAGTGCATCCTTCCCACCAGGACTTGCCAGGTCCTGTGCATGATGCTACGCAAGTTCAACTTCCCCACTGTGGCTCTACATTCTATGATGAAACAGGTGAGGAAGCCCTACCTGCCAGCCTTGTCTGAGACTCCTCTCAGCCTCAGGGCCTTTGCCTAGGCTCTTCCCTCTGCCTGGAACACTTCCCTGCCACTCCTGCCTGCCCCAGTCTGTTTTTTTTCTCAGTTATCTCCCTCACTGAATTGTGAGCCCTGTGAAGGCAGGACCATCCTGGCCTCTACCCTGTCCCCAGACCTCATACAGTAAGCACTCAAACATATACCAAGATTGTACCTGACCCCCAGCCCTGTCCCCCAATTCTCCCCCTGATCTGGCACAGAAAGAACGCTTTGCTGCCTTGGCCAAGTTTAAGTCCAGCATCTATCGGATCCTGATCGCAACAGACGTGGCTTCCCGGTGAGCATCCCAGGGTACTCTCTCCCATGTGCCAGCCCAGTGACACCCCCACTGAGGGGCCAGAGCAGGAGGCTGGCCTTGGGCAAGGGTTGGGCAGCCTCAGTTTCACCATGTGGACAGTGGTGCTGACTGGCCTCTGTCCCTAGGGGCCTGGACATTCCCACAGTGCAGGTGGTCATCAACCACAACACCCCAGGGCTCCCAAAGATCTACATCCACCGAGTTGGCCGGACAGCCCGTGCAGGTAAGCAAACAAGGTGGGGTAGCCTTTAGGGAACCATCTGCGAGCTTGCCCACACCATAAAGTGCCAAAGTCATCAGCTGGTGGGACATGGGGCAGAGGGATATAGCCAGCAGGTGAGAGATGTTAGGGGCAGCATTTGCAAGCTGGGGAATTGTCCATTTAAAAGCAAAGGTGGAGGCATTTTGGCTTTTCCATGTGACCTACACACTGTCTCTTGGGGACATAGTGCACACTACCCCAGTCGTGATCACTCCCTTTTGCCTCACTCCAGTCCCCTTCATCTGTCAGGGCTGCCAGTTGGGACCTTGTAGTGAGTAGGTGCCTCAGTTCTGATAGATGTGGTGTTGCCCTGTGGGATTTGGTGCCAAGTTTAGGCCCTCACTCTGACCCTAGCCAGGAACCAAGGAGATGTTCATCTCTCTGCTCCCCAGCCCTGCCAGGCAGGGGCACTGCATTCGTGAGATTTTCTCATGCCTGGAGTGGAGAGAGACATGGTTTCTGGGGCTACGTTGGTCCTGTCTCTTTCCTGCCCTGTGGCCTCAGGCAGGTCACATGAGCTTTCTGGGCCTTACTGCTTTGTCAAATGATGGGTAATGAGAACGTGATGCCTATTTGGGGCTGCTCTAAGGATCATGGACCTTATCAGCTGTCAGTACTGGTCCAGTACTAGTCATTATCACAGAAACAGGGAATGGAGAAACTGGCATGCAGAAATCTGGGCCAAGGCCTGTCATGGCTTATTGGTGACATAAGTCAGCCTGGGCTCCCTAGCAGCCATGCCAAAAAGGGAAATCAGCCCTGGCCGGTTTGGCTCAGCGGTTAGAGCGTCGGCCTGCGGTCCAGAGAGACCCGGGTTCGGTTTTCGCTAAGGGCATGTATGTCGGTTGCAGTTTGTCACCGGCCCTGGTTGGGTCATGCAGGTGGCAACCACTCGATGTGTCCTTTTCACATCGATGTTTCTCTTTCTCTCTCCCTCCCACTCAATCAGAACAAAAAAAAATGGAAAAAAGTCCTCGGGTGAGGCTAAAAAAACAAAAAGGGAAATCAGCCACGTCTCCTGCCTCTCTGTAGGGCCAAGCTAGCAGGAGAGCTGCCTCTCCCTGGTGTCCTGCAGCTCCCCTGGGACAGATCACCCACTACACAGGTTTGGCTAGAGGTCAAGCCCTGATACCCCGGGCTTTCTTCGCCTGCTCCCACCTATGCACCAAGTTATGCTTCCCTCAATTAAGAGGAGTCCTGACCTGTCTCTGTTGATCCCTCATAGGGCGACAGGGACAGGCTATTACACTGGTGACACAGTATGACATCCACCTGGTACATGCCATCGAAGATCAGATCAGTGAGTAAAGGGGCAAGGGTGGGGTACTCACCTGCCTTCTCATCTTAAACTGTACTTTCCTTCCTATACAACCCCCAGAGAAGTTTCTTTTGCCTAGTTATTGAAACAGTTCCCCATAATGGCTGAAAGTCATGTCCAATGGGAAGGAACTTTGGTTTCTGAGACCATGTTGTGTGGGTGATCCCTGTGGATGGGTCAGAGGCCCCAGGGATAGGGCCTGAGTCTGTTTAAAACCCCCCTCGGGTGGTTTAATGTGTAGCTAAGACCAAAAACTTCTAGGCATGTCCAATCACCAGTGACTCCTAAAATTTAGAAACACATTGCCTTTTTGGACAGTGTCCAAAAATATATATATGTATTTCCAGTCCAATTCATAGTGTTGGCAACCATACAAAAAAGAGCAGTCTGTACTTTACTTAGGTCTGAAATCCCAGAACTTGCCCACCTGACTTATCTGATATGACCCCCAGACGTCTTACATGCCCCCACCACATTGGGAACTCACTATGTACCTGCAATTCCTCTCCCTGTCATGTCCACCCTCCCCTGCCCCCGCTCCTGGGTCCCCACTATCCCCATAGAGAAGAAGCTGGAGGAATTCTTGGTGGAGGAGGCTGAGGTGCTGCAGATTCTCACGCAGGTCAACGTGGTGCGGAGGAAATGCGAGATTGTGAGTGCCAGGGAGATAATCCTTGGGACCTGGGATGCTCCCTTCAAGATGGGGATCTTCCACCTCATGACAGCTTCTCCCTCTCCCCCCTTACCCCAGAAACTTGAGGCAGCCAACTTTGACGAAAAGAAGGAAATTAATAAGCGGAAGCAGCTGATCCTAGAAGGGAAGGTGAGGGCTGAGCCAGCTGGTGGGGGCGGGCAGGGTTCCTCATGTAGGAAATATCCAGTTCAGCCACCTCCCTATTCTCCCCGAACCAGGACCCTGACCTGGAGGCCAAGCGAAAGGCTGAGCTGGCCAAGATCAAGCAGAAGAACAGGCGCTTCAAGGAGCAGGTGAAGCACACATTGCAGCAGCAGAAGGCTGGTGGGGCTGGCCGCAGGGGCCATCTACCCAGGGCCCGGCCTGAGGCCCATTCAGCCCCAGCATCCACCCAGGGCCCAGCCTGAGGCCCACTCAGCCTCTGCTTGCCCAGCCTGAGACTCCTTCATCAAACTGAGGATTTGAGAGTCAAAGGGTCTTCCTTTATTGACAGTTTCCCCCTCCCAACCTGCCCAGCCCCTCTCAGTGGAGCCCATGGACACCCATGTTGTGCAGTATATGGTTCTCTACCCTGTGGTCCCAGCTGGCCCTTTCTTAGAGCCTTAGTGAAAAGTCAGGCTGTAAAGGAAGGAACACTGGCCATGTGGTTGGGCCCATCTCCATAAACAGTAACTCCAGCCCGGGGTCACTGCAGGGGGCTGCCATGGGACCCAAAAGTGAAGGTTTTTGCAGGAGATACTCAATAAATGGATCTTTCAACTTACTGACTCTCAAGGAAGGGGCAGGAGAGGAGGGTATGGTTTCCTGTGCCTTTTAAGTCCTTTGGAACCTCGTGTCACTCCACCCCAACCCCAGTTCTCCATTCCTATGGGCCAGTCCCAAAACTTTGAACTGCGGTGCTGGCTGTTCCAGCTGGGTGACCTTGGGTTGGTGAAGCCCGTTGGCCTGTTTCTTCATTTTGAAAATGGACAATGCAAATGCATCTCTCCAAATGGTTGGTGAGATCATCCCCTTCCCTGGTGAAAATGACTGTGGTCGAGGAGCTTTTCTTCCTGCCCACCTCATCAAATCTAGGGGTTGTAACCAGAGTGAATGGGGGCTTGACCAGGGCCACCTAAGTCCAAACTGGTCTAGACAACATGGGCTGAGCCCCAGAGGATAGGCACAGCAGAACCAGGCAGAGCTGTGTGGCCTAGGCACCCTGTGGTCTCTGAATCACCCTGCTCACCTGTAAGTGGCTTTCCAGCCCTACACAGACAGGGCAGTTAGGATGTACCCAAGAGGAGAGGATCCAGTGAGGCATTTAGGTGCCCAAACACCACACACACATACACACATACAACCATGGTTAGAAATGTAATCTGGGTACCAGCATGTATCCTGGGGAGTCTAGAAATCCTATACAATGAAAAGCCCCAAACAGCCCCTGACTTGTGAGCGGACAGGTCCTCCCTGGGCTGAGTTGGCCCTGGTCCCTGCCAGGGCAAATGGCCTGCTGGGCCGCCTGCAGCCAGCCCATGCCTCAAATGGGAAGCATTGGTATAAAACCTGCTCTCGTAGCTCCTGCTCCTGTAGTTGGGCTCAGGGCGCACCCTCAGCCAAGCGGGCCAGACCCTCCCGAAGCTCACTCAGCTCAAACAGTCTGACATCCAACAGCTGTGCAGCCCGGCCCACTTCAGCCCTTGCCTGCTCCCGCTCAGCCCGAGCCTCTTCCAGGCTGTGCTCTGTCACCCGTAGCTGATGCTCCAACTCCACATTGCGGGTTTCCAGGTCCTGCAGGGAGAGGGCAGAAAGGGTTGGGGGCCCTCATAAGTGTCTAGGGTTAGCCTGACTGGGGCATCAGTTTCTGAGTACCATCCCCACACCTCACTGTGAGCCAAGCCCCTCTCCGTCTCTTTTTTTGTTGTTAATCCTCACCAAGGGATATTTTTCTTTTTCTTTTTTTTATTGATTTTTGAGAGAGAGATGGAAACTGATGAGAGAACATTGATTGGCCACCTCCTGCATGCCCCCCACTGGGGATTGGGCCCACAACCTGGGCATGTGCCCTCAATGGGGAATCGAACCGGTGACCTCTTGGTGCATGGGTTGATGCTTAACCACTGAACCTCACTGGCCGGGCCAGAGGATATTTTTCCATTGACTTTTAGATGGAGTGGGAGGTGGGTGAGAAAGAAAGAGGTCAATGTGAAAGAGACAAATCGATTGGTTGCCTCTTGAACAATCTTGACTGGGGCTAGGGGCCAAACCTGCAATCCAGGTATGTGCCCTTGACTAGGAATTGAACCCATGGCCCTTGGGTCCATGGGCCATCGCTCTAACCACTGAGCAAAACCAGCCAGGGCCCCCTCCATCTCTTGATCTCCCTGCCACCTGTACTGAAGACTCTCCCTGGTCCCGCAGCCAATTTGAACATCACAGAAATGATCACATCCCTCTTTTGAAAGACGTATGAGGTCTTTCATCAAGTTGGGGATGAAATTTACGCCATCCCCCTCCTCTCCATTCTCATTCCAATTCAGCCTCACAGGTCTAGTGGTTCCTTGAATACACTAATGTCCCCCTCCATCTCAGGGCCTTTGCACGGGCTGTACACTGCCCAGGAAACAACAAGGACCATTTCCCCAATCTCTCCACGGGACACTTTGGGGGCACCAGATCTTTTTTTTTTTTTTTTTATCCTCACCCAAGGACATTTTTGCATTTATGTTTAGACAGAGCGGGAGGGAGAGAGAGCGAGAGAAACGTTGTGAGAGAGACACATTGACTGGTTGCCACCCCCACGACCCCAACTGGGGCCGGGGACAAACCACAACCGAGGTACGTGCCCTTAGTGGGAACTGAACCCGGGACTCTGGTCTGCAGGCTGACGCTCTAACCACTGAGCAAAACTGGCCAGGGCAGGGGGCACCAGATCTTTTAATACCTCCAGCTACAGACTCACAGGACATGCCCCATGAATGCTTCTTGAATAAAATTTTTAGCAAAAGCCAGGACGGCTAGACTTGCATTCAAATGCAGGCTCCTGACCTTAGGCTGGGGAGGTGTGAGGACTCAACAGGGTCAAGAGCATGAGCTCAGCAGGGACTCAAAAATTGCTTGTTGAGCCCTGGCTGGTTTGGCTCAGCGGTTAGAGCGTCGGGCTGCGGTCCAGAGAGACCCAGGTTCAGTTCCCGCTAAGGGCATGTATGTCGGTTGCAGTTTGTCCCCAGCCCCGGTTGGTTGTGCGGGTGGCAGCCACTCGACGTGTCCCCTTCACGTTGATGTTTCTCTCTCTCTTCCTCTCTCTCCCTCCCACTCTATCTGAACAAAAAAAAGAAAAAAAAATTGCTTGTTGAGCCTTGATTGTTTTTTTCAGTGGTTAGATCTTCAGCCTGCGGACTGAAGGGTCACAGGTTCTATTTGGTCAAGGGCACATTGTGGGTTCACTCCCTGGCTCTGGTTGGGGTGTGTGCGAGAGACAACCAGTTGAAGTGTCTCACATTGATGTTTCTCTCTCCTTCCCCTCCCTTCAACTCTCTCTAAAAAAAAATAAATGGAAAAAAATATCCTCGGGTGAGGATTAATAACATAAATAAATTGCTTGTTGAATAAGTGGTTGGATGTAAATCATGGTACCAATAATAATCATTTACAAACCACCTCAGACCTTAAATGCATCGGCTCTTTCCAGTCCTTCACCTTAGGTAGATGTCTTCCTGACCCCATTTACAAGTGAAAAAACTGAAGCTAAAGGGGACCAAGCAGGAAGAGAAGATACCAAGTCTGTCCCACACCAGAGGTTGGCTGCCCATGTGCAGTCACCCCACCCCCTGGCAACAGCACACACCTGCACCTTCTGCTGTATCTCCTCGTACTCCACTGTATCAGGGGCCTCTCGGGTTCCCCCTGTCTGGCTCTTGAGTGTCTGGATCTCCTAGTGGAGAAGAGTTACCAGGGTGTTCTGGGAGTCCTGGCTCTCCCATGGGAGGTCAGGGAAGTTGAGGCCTGGGGACACACATGCACACACATATGCTCAGTGCTCACCTGGTCCTTGGTTTGCACTAAGGACTCAAGCTGCTCCAGCACCTGGCCTGGCCCCTCCTTCTCACTGACTGGGGTTGGCTCTGTGGCTGCCTGGGCCTCCAACTCAGCCACCTGTGTGGACAGAAAGGTCAGCACCTCCCTAGGGAATCTGCCTTCTGCTCAGTCCCAGCAATGACTAGGCATTCAACCCCTCTGCTTGGAGTTACCACCCCACCCCTGGCAGGGAAGACTTTAGGGTCTGACACCCCTCTGAGATGGGTGCTGTACATCAGACCTATTTTACAGGGCACAAAACTAAGGCTCAGGGAAGTGATCTGTACAGATCACACAGCCAGTAGGTGAACTCAGGACAGGCAGGATGGGTGCAGACAGGGGCTCCACAGTTGCCTGGGCCGTGGGGCTCTGAGAGGGAAAGGTCCCCTCACCCGCTGCCGCAGCCGCTCGGCCTCTGCCCGCTGGGCCTCCAGCTGCTGCCTCCACTGGGCGGCGGCTGCGTTAGCCTCTCTCAAGGCGCCCGCCAACTTGTTGTTGCTGTCCTGCAGCGCGAAGAATTCGGCCTCCCACTGTACCTCGCCCACAGATCTGCAGGGACGCAAGGGTCGGCACCAGGTCGAGCCACGCTAGCCGGCGCTAGGCTAGTGGCCCGGCCGCACTAGGCCGGGATGTCTAGGAGACGGTACTGGGCTACAGGCGGGGCGGTACCGGACTCGGAGTACTGGGAATCACACAGTGGGCCGACGAGGGTAGAGGCGGGACGGTGCGTGGGGCGGAGTCAAGGCGCGGAGCCCGGGGGAGGTGAGCCTTGTCGGAGGCGTGGTTAGAGCTGGGCGGTGCGTAGCGCCGGAGCCAGAGTGGGAATGTCAGGGTAGGCGGGCCCTTGTCGGGGGCGGGGTCAGAGTAGGCGCCCGATGTTTGCTCAATGCGACAGTGGGAATGTGGCGTGGGCCTGGGGTCAGCCCATAGGGACACAGCCCAAACCGGGTGGGGTTGGGAGGCATTAATAGCTTTACAACTATCCCGGTGAAGTGTGAGCGGGGAGAGGGCGGGGTCATCTCCTGGAAGGCGTGGCCAAAGCCAGAGCGCGTGGAAGGGCTCGGTCGGCTCCGGAAGGGTCAGGATTGGAGTTAGACACCCCCGGGTACCCAGGCTTTGGATCCACAGTCAGATCCGCCGGCGTCGTACCCTAGCAGCTTCTGAGAAGCTCCTTTCGCAGCCCCTCGTCCTGCCCTACCCAGCCCTATCCCCTCACCCCTCTGACAGCATCTTCTTGAGCCGCTCTCTCTCTGAGGGGCCAGGGGCTTCAGCACTCTGGCTGCGGAACAGTTTCTCGTCGCTGGGGGGGCCATTGGCGCTGATGAGGGGGTTTGGAGGCACCTAAGGGTGTGGGCAGAAACGGGGTCACGGATGGGGATCATGGTTAGGATCAGGGCTGATGTTACTGAGGTCATGACTGGGGGCAGGCATCCTTTCCAGTCCTGAGATCAAGGTGCGCCGTTCCCCTCCGCACCCCTCCTCCATGGTCTCCCATTGCCCCTGGACCGAAGTTCTGGGCCCTGGTCCCCAACCTTGTCTGCCTGAGTTCTCACCAATTCCCCAGGGGCAAACCTGATGCAAATCAGTTTAGAGTCTCAACCTGTGGGTCGCAACCCCTTTGGGGTCGAACAACCCTTTCACAGGGGTCGCCTAAGACATAACAGTAGCAAAATTACAGTTATGAAGTAGCAACAAAAATAATTTTATGGTTGGGGGTCACCACAACATGAGAAACTGTATTAAAGGGTTGCCGCATTAGTAAGGTTGAGAACCACCTTCTAAGCTGAGACTCTAGACCCACTGAGATAATTAGAAATCTGCCTCGCTCGGAGTGGGGTAAGGGGGAGGGGAGGAGCAATCAGAAACCCTAGCAACAGTACCCCTCTGGGGCCGAATTTCAACATCCATTTCAGATTCCAATAGGAAGCCCTCTCCACCCGGCTGAATTTCTTATGAATCCACCTCATGTGTCCTGAGGACAGGAGCCAGCCTGTTTTTTCATCTTTGTAACCCTTGTCCAGCCCTGGGCCTGGCTTGGCCATCTGAGCTGGCTTTTTGGTCTTTCCTGACCCAGAGCTAGGCCATATGCCCCCTGACATACTCCATGGCACCCACACTCCTTCTCCGTGGTCCCTGCCACAATTTGTGAGCATTTGGCTCTGGACACCAGCACAACACAATGCAGGGACCGCCACCCTCCCCCATATTGTTGGGTATAGGACAGGGATTGCTGACCTGGTGGGCGGACAGCCCCAGGGCTGGACTGGTGAGCTCCCCACCATCCTGAGATTTCTCCCTCGCCAGCCTCGCTGCTTCCTTCACTTCCTGGAACTTCTCAGCAAACTGAGGAGGGAAGGACAGGACCAGACAGTCAATAAACCCCGGGGCCCCACCAGGTTACCCCTAGCTAACACCATCCCTGTCACTTACTAAGGGACTTTAGGAACTCTGCGCTTCATCTTATGAGCTGGAAAAGTGGGAAGAAGGCTTGGAAAATGATGCCACAATGGACAGAGTGGGTTTGAAGGTGGGGGATGGGATGTTAATGGAGGAGGCTTACTTTGAGCCACCCTGAGAACAGGATCTCCTTTTCCTCTCTATCAGGCTTGTTTCAGCTAGGAGAGCCTCAGGTGGGTGCTAATCTGTCTTTAATGCGTGGAACCCTGTAAATATCCTTGTATGACAGAGAAAGCGGGTCTTGGGATCTGAGCCCTAGCCAGTGAGAAAGTGATTGTCCTGTTCTCATTTTTATTATATTAATGTCAAACATTTGCCATAAGAACCAGCTTTCTAGTTAGGATAGAATACACTTTTTTCACTTTAAAATACATTTCATTAGTTTGAAAATAACTTTTTTCTTTTTTTTTTATCCTCACCTGAGGACATTTTTCCATTTTTTGTTCAGAGTCGGAGGGAGAGAGAGGAAGAGGGAGAGAGAGAAACATCCACGTGAAAGGGACACATCGAGTGGCTGCCACCTGCATGACCAACCAGGGCCGGGGACAAACTGCAACGGAGGTATATGCCCTTAGCGGGAATCGAACTCGGGTCTCTCTGGACCGCAGGCTGATGCTCTAACCACTGAGAAAACCAGGGCTGAAAATAACTTTTTAAAGGAGATATTCACAGATACACAACCACTTGGTTTGTGTGGAGCAGTGCAATTCACTGGGTATAAATGGTCTTTTCAAAAATAGCCCATGCCCTTGCCAGTTTCACTCAGCCTAGAGTGTTGGCCTACAGACCAGAGAGTCCTGGGTTCAGTTCCCACTAAGGGCACCGACCTCGGTTGTGCTTTGTCCCCAGCCCAGTTGGGGTCGTGTGGGTGGCAGCCAGTCGATGTGTCTCTCTCACATTGATGTTTCTCCCCCCCACGCCCCCACCCTGCCCCGCTCTGTCTGAAGATAAATGCAAAAAAGCAAAAATAGCCCATGATTGCCCTGGCTGGTTTGGCTCAGTGGTTGGAGCATTGGCCTGCAGACCAGAGTCCCGGGTTCAGTTCCCACTAGGGACACGTACCAAAAAAAAAAAAAATTGCCCATGGTCAATCGAATACTCATGTGGGAAAAAAAATACTCCTACCTTACACTACCCATAGAAATAAATTCAAGACCTAAATATGAAAGGGAAACAAAAGCTAATAGAAGAAAATTGTCATGTCCTCAGCAGAACTCAGAGAGCAATAACCAACCATCCAATAAAACAATGGATAAAACAATACTGACTTCTAGAGATAGCAGAGGGTGGAGAGAAGTGATGATGTAGTGCTAGCATGTATGGGGAAGCACCCAGCCCATCCCAGGAACCCAGAGAGGGGCAGGGTGTGTTGAAATTGGAGAAGGTGTCCTGCAGAGCTAGGATGTGAATGAGGGAATCAGGAAGGGGCTTCTGGCTTGTCCAGTTCTGAAGCTGGGAAGGTGGAGGCCCAGCATCTCACCAGGGGTCCCACTGCACCCAGGCTAAGACCCAGGCCCTCCCACTACATACCCCTGAGACCCACCTGGGTCAGATGCTGTTCAGAAGCAAAGCCAAGGCCGTACACAGTGTTAGCGCGACTGTCTGCCCATTGTCCAAACTTCTGGGAGGTTTTGGTAAAGGTCATGTTGGGGGTGACAGTACTATTGATAATGGCCTGGGGAGAGGAGAGTAAAGTTCAAGGTTGATGGAACTGTTAATAATGAACATGAGACCACTGGGGTTTCACTTTCTATTAGAGCCTCCAAGGCCCTTGGTCTGAGCCATTTCAGGAGGAAGAAACTGAGGCCCAGAAAGGATCAGGGCTCCCCCCGACCCGACCTGTCTCTGGGCACAGAGCAAGGCAACGACTGGACCCAGGCCTGCCACCCCAACCAGGCCCTGCCAGGACCTTGGCACCCCCAATGCTGATGATTCGGTAGACGTTGCGGGTGGCATCATAGAAGTAGGAGACTGTTAGTGCGTGCTTGCCCGCAGGGATCCAGTTCCGCTTGGTGGCTGGGTCGATCTGGAACACATGTGCCCTTGTGCTGAAGATGGGGTGCTCCCTGCATAGAAAGAGGGTGCTCAGTGGGGGCCAGGCACCCCCCCCCCAGAGGTCTCAGGGCCAAGCCCATGGAGGCAGTGGCTCACCTGGCTGTGGACATTGGTCAGGCTGGGCTAGATGGGCTCCAAAGGGCAGCCAGAGGGGTGGCAGAAGCTGCTGGTTCAGCCTCTGGGGTAGAAAGGGCTTGTGAGTGTTCCCCCAGGGCAGGTTGAGGGAGGCCAAGCAGGTCCAACCTCAGGAACCACCACCAGGTGCACCATTCATAGAATTTCAGCCGAAAAGGTAAGGGAATCAGTAGAGAACTCAGATCAAGGAGACTCTGACAACACCCTGGGCGGGAGATGTCTCTCTGAAGCCATGGGAGATGTCTCTCTGAAGCCACGTGGCCCCTGATTTCTTAGTATAAACCTATCATCATCTGGGTTGTTGGGTCCTCAGTGAAGCCCCCTCAATCTTAGGGTGGGCCAAGGCCAGCTTCTGCTCACTACTTTCCCACACATTCACCTATTACTCCTCAAACCAGGGCCTCCAGCAAGAAGTATGGCATAACCAGGTGCCCCACTAGCCCCACAGAGGGACCCTTCTGGGGCACAGGCACAGATTGGTGTCAAAGTCCAACTAGGGTGTCCCCATCCTTGTCAAAAAGACAAAATGTAGCCAAACAGGACCACCCTGGTGCCCACAACCAGATTGCCCATCACCACTCACTCCCAATATCATGGGGGTCTGGGTGGAACCCAGGATTGGGAGATGGGCTCCCCAGTCTCTTTGCTGGTTTCTTCAGCCACCACCCCACAGAAGCCAGGAGCAGCTGCCTGGAGAGACTTCCGCACGCGCGCGCGCGCGCGCGCACACACACACACACACACACACACCGGCCCCCCCCCCCCCGCCCTCAAACTTGAATCCAGGGGATCTGCAGGGGATTCAGGGGGAACCTGGGGGAGGGGAGGCAAATTAGGGGAAGGGACGCCGAGGCTTAGTGGTCTCTGTCGTCAGAGTGGACTCCCCGCCCCCAGTCCTGGGCAGCTGCTGTCCTAGTCACAGGGTCTGAAACCGGAGCCCCTGGTGGGGGAGGGGCGGCAGATCTGGCTGAGGTTGGGGGCAAGTCCTGGGTCCCTGGGGCTCCAGCACTCAGGGGTCCCAGGAATTCTGGCCCTTCCAGCTGGGATGCTCCTGCTGTGACTTGAACGATTGGGGAAAGTTACTCACCAACTAGTCATGCCCCTCTCACGCCGACAGCCTTGAGGCTTCCGGAGGGGGCCGGACCCCGCCCAGTGCCCGGGATCCTTAAATGCTTGTGAGGGCGAAGCCCTTCCCATATGCCCCAGTCTGGGGTCCTGATATTCTGTCAGAATCGAGTCCCCACACGCATCAGGGCCACCCAGTGCGTGCCTCAACTTCAGTATATGCGGTCCCCAAACTTGGAACGTCCAAGATCCCTGTGACGCCCCGGACTCCGGGTCCAGAACTTCGGGGACATTATCTGCCTCCTCGGACCCCAGATCCGTAACCTCGAGTATTCTCAGCACTGTCCCGATGCCTGAACTTTGGGGACCCTCTGCTACCCTTCCATCCCCAGGTCCAGAATTTCTGGGTCCCCTCGCACACCAACCCCATCTGGAACTTCAGAGACACCCTCGCAGCCTCCCAACAACGTTGGGCGCGGAACTCTGGGAACCCTTCTCACTGTCCCCTTTCCGACCCGAGCTTCAGAACTTCGGGGACCCTGAGACCCTGCAGGACCAGGTACGGTACTTCAGGGCTTCCCGGGCCTCTGCGTCCAGAACTTCGGGGACCCCCGCGCCCTCCCCCGGCTCCAGAACTTCAGGGCCACCGCACCAGCACGCAGGCTCGGTCGGCCGGGCTCACCCTGCCAGCTGGGCGCCCGGAGAGTGTCCCGGCGGAGTCGGGTGCGGCCCGCGACGCCGACTCCCCGCGCCCTCCGCGCTACCCGCGCCTTTGTCTGCGCTGCCGCTGCCGCTGCCGCCCGCGCCGCCTCCGGTCCCATCGCAGCCGGTCCCGACGCGGCCGCTGCCCCGCCTCCCGCCTGCCCCCTCCCTGCCTCCCGCCTGCCCCCCTCCCCGCCTCCTCGCCTCCCCGCCTCCCTGCCTCCCCGAGGTCACCCCCAGCGCCCCCTGCCGGCCCTCCGCGGCGAGGGAGGGAGGAGGGGTTGGTGGAGCCCGGGAGAGGGCTGAGGGTGGGGGAAGGGGAGTGGGGCGAGGGTGGAACATTGACCCAGACCCAGACCCAGAGAGACACGGGGGAGGGGGGGTGGGGAGGCAGAGACACAGAAGACAGACAGCTATGTAACTATGTAACAAGACAATTGTGACAATGCCAAGAATAGCAGGGTGATATGTGTTATAGGGTCTCAGAATCCAGGGTGGAGGGAATGAATGTCAGTGAGTCCCCTGATGGTCCACATGCTGGATTGCACCTTTGGTCAGAGGGTGTGCACCCCTTCATATGCGTGCCAGGAGCAGGTGTCCTTCTGCCTGGAGCTGAGCTGTGATCATCTCCCCAGGCCCTGGCCTGCCCCAAGTCACATAATGCCATCTTGTCCATGGGCAGAGGCACCAAGACTCCTCAGACCCAAGGCCCACAGTTCCCACAGTTAAGCTTTCTAACAGTCTCAGAGGTTTTGCTTGTTGTTGCCTCTGTCACATTTCCTTCCTCTTCTTTTATTTCTGTTCCTTTGACAAGAATCACACATCTGAGCTGGTAGCTACCTTCAAATTACCTTTAAGTGAATTCTGGAGACTTAGTTCCAGGCCAAGATCTGTGCTTAGTTCCAGGCCAAAGTCCTCCTGGACTTTGCTCAAGCTGTTCCCTCCACTAGGAATGCCCTTCCCACAGGCTCAAATTCTGCCTTGTCCTTCCAGTCTCAGCTCCATGGTCATTCTCCTAAAAGCTTGTCTGACCAGCCTGGGCTTGGAAGGGATCTCACCCCACCCTGCCCCACACACCCATCCCTTTCTGTGACATCCCTGATGTGTGTTACCTGTTTATTTGTTCCACTGTGGCCAGATCTGGGTGCTCCTGGAGGACTTGCTCATCCTGGACCCCCAGCCTCACTGGGGAAATGGAAGCACAGATTCAGTTTCCTAGGCTGTTTCTAACTTCACAAGGCATCTGCACAAGCAAAAGATTTGGCTTTGCTCTCAGGCCCGAAGCCACAAAATGCTTGAACACTATGGGGAACAAAGAGAATACCGTCTGTTCTGTGCAAAGAGTGACTTTTCCTTATTACCAAACAATAATAATTTTTAAAAAAGTAACTAGGAAGGTGCGGGCAGAGTCAAGGCTTCTGGAAGTCATTCAGGGTGTGCTGAATGCCAGACTGCTATAGCTCTGTAGCTAGGACCATGTGGCCATTCTTTGGGGAGGGCCCTGCGAGGGGCCCAGTCAAATTTCCTCCTTGTGTGGGCAGAAGACAACAGCATGAGAGAGAGTAGGGAGGTGAATTCTTTCCTTGGTCACCCCCAGTCTCCATGAGGGCTAGGATCGTGCTGGCCTTGAGCAGCACTGAACTGATATTGTCTTAGTCAAGTCCAAACTGAGGGAGTCTTTTGTCAAGTCAGACTTCAGTTTTCCTACCTGGAGAATGGGCAGATGCTCACAGGGCTGAGGTGGGAGAGGAGGCAGGGAGGATCCAGGTTCCACCAGTAGCTCCTCACTGTCCCTTGGGTATAGATAGGTAGGGGGGTGCCCTGAGCTGCTATCCCCACCACGGACTGAGGCCTCTTCTCCTTGGGGCTATCATTGCAGGGAGGGCAGAGGCCAATACCCCAGGGTGGCTGACTAGAAGCAACAGCTTTCCCTTCAGGTTGAAGAAGGACATGAGGGAATGAGCCACCCATCATAAGAGGGACCAAAAAGGAACTAAAATGGCTTGTTTGGCTCTAGGGCAGCACTTTGCAGATTGGCACTTATGATCTCTGCCTGGTTAAATCTAACCCAACCTTTGAACTAAAGCTAAATCCCCTCTGTTCCACCAGATCAGGGAAAGCTTGTCATTCTTCCCCAAGATAACATGCCCAATCACATGGCATGGGTCACCATGGCCGCCAGATCTGTTATGGCATTATTTGGTTACTGTCCACTCTTCTACAGCTTTGCCCCAGCACCTAGAGCAAGACTGATCTACAGCAGAAACTCTGTAAATGCTTCCAGAAAAAAGGGATTCCTAGGCTCTAGCCTTGGTCCTCGGTTGTCACATGAGCCAGAAAGTCACTCCCAGCCCTGCTACCTCTTACCAGCAGTGTGACTTTATTTTTTAAAATATATTCTTATTGATTTTTTTAGAGAGAGAGGAAGGGAGAGAGAGATAGAAACATGATATGAGAGAGAAACATCGATCAGCTGCCTCCTGCGTGCCCCCCACTGGAGACTGAGCCCGAAACCCAGGCATGTGCCCTGACCTGGAATGGAACCAGGACCTCTCAGTCCATGGGACGACTCTCAAACCACTGAGCCACACCAGTGGAGCGCAGCAGTGTGACTTTAAAGAAGCCTGCTTTCCTCTCTGTGCCTTAGTTTCCCCATCTATAAAATGTGAATAAGAATGCTGCCCACTTCTGAGATTTCCTGTAAGAATCCAATGAGTCCTTGAGTGAAGAGGGCATGACTTTAGGAGCTTAATAAATACTCACTGTTATAAACATTATATTTATTCTTGGCTGTTTGGGCATGTGGTTTTGATCCTGAGTGAAGTTCTTAGGATTTTCTCTTTTAGGGTTGAAGGGTCCCAACCCAGCGTGAGCTCAGGTCCAACCTGGTGTGATATCCTCTACATCTTTAGTTCTAAATCCCTCTGTGCCCCTCCAGTCATCCTCCTCCTCCTTCTCCCCGTTCTCCCACAGCCATGCTAGTTGGGCCAACCACCACACCGTAGCCTTGGGGAAAACTCCTATTCATCCCTATCTCCAATGTTCTCTTCTCCTAGAAGCCCTCTCTCCTCTTTCTCTAGATCCTCCTAACACCCTCTCCCCTTCTGATCCAATCCTGACCCCAAGGGGCTGGTGATGTGTCTAACTCTGACTCCCCCAGCCTGAGGGTACCTCAAGGGCTGGGCTGAGGCTTCCCTTGGGTTTGCATCTCCCAGCATTGGGTGGATGTATGACGATCATGACAGAGGAGAGTCTGATGACTCAATATTGGTGAAAGTGACCCTGCCTTAAATTTAGCTCCAACTCAACTTCTACCCAAGGCCAAGGTTAATTCATTAAACAAACAGCACCCAGAAAGTAACAGCCAGGCACTGTCAGGCCCAGGAACAAAGGGCCTTTGGGATGGAGTCAAGCACTGGGTTATGAACTCGAGTTCCCAGGACCAGGTAAGGTGCGGGTGGGGGGTGCACTTGACCCTCTCCTAACTCTAAACCTGGATCTGTGGTCTGGATCCCACAGACCTAATTACCCTCATTGCCACGTGCACTAATTACCTCCGTGGTGCCAGGTGGCTGGGCAGGGCTGCTCCACTTTTGGGAGGTAGGTCGGCCTGATTATTTTTGGCTGTGCTGTCCTTGAAGGCTCCGGCATCTGCCCTCGTGAAGGGCAGAAAGTGGGGCGGAGAAATTGCAGCCATTTCAGGAGGGACAGTGGGAGATATGGGGGTTGGGTTGGCCCAGGAGCTCCCTGAGTAGGGACTTTGGACCTGAAGTCTGAGGGTCTTTGGCAGATAGCTGAGGTGGCAAGACCTGGAGGGGCTGAGAATCACCTCTGAGGTGGACTGTTCTGGAGGTCTAGTTTATGTTATTTTAAAATATGTTTGTATTGATTTTTTAGAGAGAGAAAAAGGGAGAGAGAGATAGAAATATTGATGTGGGAAGGAAACATCGATCAGCTGCCTCCTGCACGCCCCCGCAACCTGAGCATGTGCCCTGACTGGGAATCGAACCAGAACCACTCTCAATCCACTGAGCCACACTGGCCGGGCTGGAAGTCTATTTTATTTATTTATTTTTAATTTTTTCCCTCACCCGAGCACATTTTTTCATTTTTTGTTCAGATAGAGTGGGAGGGAGAGAGAAAGAGAGAGAGAGAAACATCGATGTGAAAGGGACACATCGAGTGGCTGCCACCCGCATGACCAACCAGGGCCGGGGACAAACTGCAACCGAGGTATGTGTCCTTAGTGGGAACTGAACCCGGGTCTCTCTGAACCGCAGGCGGACGCTCTAACCTTTGAGCCAAACCAGCCAGGGCTGGAGGTCTATTTTAAATGTGGCACCATTGCCCTGGCAGGTTTGGCTCAGCGGTTAGAGCACCGACCTGCGGTCCAGAGAGGCCCGGGTTCGGTTCCCGCTAAGGGCATGTACCTCGGTTGCAGTTTGTCCCCGGTTGCGGTTTGTCCCCAGCTGCGGTTTGTCCCCAGCCCTGGTTGGTCTTGCGGGTGGCAGCCACTCCATGTGTTCCTTTCACATTGATGTTTCTTTCTCTCTCTCTCTCTCTCTCTCTCTCTCTCTCTCTCTCTCTCTCTCTCTCTCTCCCTTCCTCTTTCTCCCTCCCGCTCTGTCTGAATAAAGAATGGAAAAAAAAAGCCCTGGCCGGTTTGGCTCAGCGGTTAGAGCGTCGGCCTGCGGTCCAGAGAGACCCGGGTTCGGTTCCCGCTAAGGGCACGTACTTTGGTTGCAGTTTGTCCCCGGCCCTGGTTGGTCGTGCTGGTGGCAGCCACTCGATGTGTCCCTTCACGTCGATGTTTCTCTCTCTCTCCCTTCCTCTCTCTCCTTCCCACTCTATCTGTACAAGAAATGGAAAAATAACCTCGGGTGAGGATAAAAATAAAAAATAAAAAAATAAAAATAAAAAAAAAAGAATGGAAAAAAAGTCCTCTGGTGAGGATAAAAAAAAAAAAAGAATGATTAAATGTGGCACCATTGTCCTGGCAGGTTTGCTCAGTGGTTAGAGCGTCGGCCTGTGGTTGAGAGAGACCC